CTTCAATTTTGGATCTTTATGAGACACCAAGAGCACCTGAGAAACGACGGTATTTGACAGTAATGAAAAAAAGTAGGCCTACCAAAAGAAGTTGAGAAGTATCAAAAAGTATCATAGTCTCAAAATTGGACAACGTAACTCCACATAGGGTGATAAATAGCCGAGTGGTCAGGTCAACTGAAATGAGATGCATCATGACTTTTTTTTTTTTCAAGATTCATATCTGTTTGATTTTTCAGTTTATAATGTTAAACACATCTTAAACGCAGATCTTCATACCTACACGCTCCAAAGTACAGTCAAGCAAGCCAAATTCATGATGAATAGAACCACACTGGACTCACTCTTTAGAGAGTAGTGATGCAGAGTTTAAATACCAATGAACGATGTACTCCTTTTATTTATTGCTCTGCAAGAATTACAAGATGTTGACTGAATGCCAAACTAATGACGGCTCCATGGAGAAGATGTTACTATAACAGCAGAATGCTTAATGAGTGAAATAAATACTTCCATGAGGGGAAATCCTGAAAGCAAAAAGTAAACAGTTTAAACAGTTTACGTTCTACATGTAGAGAGTCAAGTTATACATCTACTTCATGGTAACAACCATTTAAAAATCTGTTTTGTAACCTGACACTGGTCTTCAAGCTAAAGGAGGGTGAGAAAGAGACGTGTGGGAATAGAACTAGGTCAGTAAACCATGGCAGTGAAGATGAAACAGCGCTAGGTTGTAGCTGTAAGTGTGTGTGTGTGTGTGTGTGTGTGTGTGTGTGTGTGTGTGTGTGTGTGTGTGTGTGTGTGTGTGTGTGTGTGTGTGTGTGTGTGTGTGTGTGTTCCAGTTTTGGCAGGGGGAGCCCCGTTTGCAGAATATGGTCTTGCATGGTAGGAGCCGGGCTACAATGAGCTGGCATGTTTGAGGGGATGTGCTGCCAGTCTAGCCACCAATCTCAGGAGCATGGGAAGGCAAACACAGAGCTGATCTCAAAGACTTCTAAAGGGAGCCGCTTCCTGCCAAAAAAAATCACTCGCACCTGTCCTTCTGTTTCTGCTTTTCCTTCCTCTCTTCATCATCTGCTGCTCCTCCCAGTCTCTCCCTCTCTTGTCTGCGCTCTTTCCCTTCATCCTCTCCACATTGGGAAACTTTTTCTTGGCTTTAAAAAAATAACAAATAAAAAAAAACTATTGGACGCCGCTGCTCCTCCCTTTCTGTTTAGGCCGGTGCCAGGTGTAAAAAGCAACCTGGCATGGGCGCAGTTAGTCCTGTTTAGGAGCGGTGTGGGGCAGCCATGCCAGGGCACAGAGTCATCCCTCACACATAAAACACACACACACACACACTTAAAGATACGCACAAAATAAGCTTTTTAAGAGGCCATGAGGCATTGCCAAGCACTGGCTAGGCTTGTGTTTCATTAGCATCAGATAGAGAGCCTTTCTTCATTCAGTCCTGCTGTGTGTGTGTGTGTGTGTGTGTGTGTGTGTGTGTGTGTGTGTGTGTGTGTGTGTGTGTGTGTGTGTGTGTGTGTGTGTGTGTGTGTGTGTGGGATAATGAAATCCACGGATAAGACTGGCCTCTGACTGAACTCTATGTACCACAAGGCACTAGAGGCCGTCAGAGAAAAAGAGAATAGATGTGTGAGGGTGTCCTTGTAAAATATTTCTACAGTTCTCTGCAGTTTGTAAAGAGAAGAGTGTGTATGCTTTGCGATTATGGAAGGCACAGGGTCACTTGGTTTCCATTCAACATTTTCTTTGTGTATCAGTCTAGGCGGTGTAAAAATCCAACCTCATTTATCCTGCATGAGATCACCTGTTACGCTTTCTCCTTCCTTCGACCTCATAAATTCCAGTCTAGAAAACTTTTAAACATCTCCTGCAGAACTTTTCAATCTTATCGGTTGCCTCCAAAAGCCGGCTCTCCTGTTTCAAAGTCAGGTACATGAAAGCTCATACAGAGGCCGAGCTCAGATTTTTTTTGTTTTTTTAGGGGAGGTTACAGTATCAGATGACTGCTGCAGGACTCAGGCAGGTGCTCGCTGCGCTGTGAATGGAGCCTGTATGAGCCGCTCATTACAGAAGGACATCTGCTGCCGTCCGGCCCCCACTGACTCCGCCCCCCTAAGCTTTACACTGATGCCCTGTCAGTGTGTGTGAGAGAGACCAGCGGCGGAACAAAACAGCACACAAATACACAGTCACACACACATACACACACACCTGCCTTCTACAGTCGCTTAGAATAAAAAGATATGAGAATTTTTAACAGAGATTGCCAGCTGTTGTTTTTATCATCGAAATGAAAGTGCGAGAGTAATCGTGTATTTTTAATATGCGTGGATGTTTTTGTGGCAGAGAAAAAAAAAATCCACACAGGCCACTTTATTCTGCTGTACACTCTTGAATATGAAGAAAACACATTTTACAGCTTGTGGTTTAAAGACCTGCTTCAAAGATTCAGTATTTTTCAGAGGAAGCTAAAAAAAAAAATGTAAACGAATCATATAACTTAAAATAAAAATCCATTCCAATTTTCCTGTGAAATAAATGTTTTCTTTAAAATAAAAAATTATGCTGGCCTGATATAATCGCTTATAGCACTCTGTAACAACTTCCATTTTGAAATGATCTGTTTGGAAAGGCATGGCAACAATCCTTAAATTAGCTCATTATAAATGACATTTGTCTGGGAGATGATGTGTGCTAATTAAAAAGGAGCCCATCGCCCTGTACAGGGTGGCACTATTTAGTCTACTTGTTGTCTGTCATCTTCCGCTGCAGAAACTAATGGGTGAACTTGCTCTTGTCCAGAGGAGCGAAGAGAAAAGAAATGACAAAGAGAGTGTGTGCACGAAGTTCATAAATCAATGCAGGCACAAAGTAGCCCTGAAACATTATGAATTGATTTGGCTGGGGATGTTAGAGAGAGGAGGCAGAGAGCATTTATTACACAATAGAGAGAGAAGTAAGGGGGGGGAGAAGAAGATAAAGCATGTGAGTAAGGAAAAATTAAAAGCAGCTGGTATAATGTTGGCAGGTTTTTAACTCTACCGCTCAGGAGATTCATCAGAGCTGAGCTGCACTTACAGCTTTGAATAAGTGCAGAGAGTTTCAAACTGTCACACTCACAGTATCATTAGCAGCAGCAGCCTTTGACGTTAAAAACACACACAGACACCAGGCTCATGTTCCTACAACAATGCAAGACTCATGACTCTTTAAATCAGGATTAGTAACCTTACACACACACACACACACACACACACACACACACACACACACACACACACACAGTCTCACCTCTTCTTTGCAGGACCGTCTTCGCCGTACTTGCTGCCCCCATCCAGGCCCTGAGAGTGCAAGGACCCATCTTGTTTGTGGCCGCCTTTGGACCCCGAGCCGTTCAGCTGCCCGTTGGCTAAAGAACCTGAGGAGAGAATCAGAGACAGTGTCACCAGGAAATATTGGACCACTGCTTTCCACCTTCAGAAATCTGTCAAGGTCCTTTGCGGATGTTTTATGATCCAGGCCGCTTAAAGCTCCTGTGAGGAAGTTTTCAGTCGTATTTGGCGACCCCAAAAGACAAAGCAGTATTTGCTGGTATTGTCCTTCACATTTTTATTTAGTTTATTTTTTTCACCAAAAATCTCATTCTGCTTTCTTTCCCTGTCAAATCTCTCATGGTGAATATTTCCAGTGGATTGATGTTTTGGCAGGAAGCAGGTAATCACAGGTAAAAACAGCAGTTCTAAGCCATAAACGTAACTTTATAGAATGAATCAATCCTCTCGCTGACAGTCCTGTTTACCTTTTCAGGTCATAAAGAGACATTAATATTCATTTCAGACTTCTTCATTCCCAAGAAAAAAAACTCCTTAGAGGATTAATATTACATTGAAATAGAGAGTCCTCAGGGAACCAACAATGTTTTTACTCTGACAGTTCTAATAAAGGCTTCTGGTTTTGATTGGAAACAGCGCAGAGGGCTGAGACAGAGTGGACACTTTTCTTTTGATATGATTATGGGAGGTCTGCTTCATCTGACAGTGTGGAGTGGATACAGGACAAGAGAAACGGAGGAAAGACACAAATGAAGGAGCAGATAGGACAGAGAAAGCTCATTCTTCAAACATATTTACTGTAAATAAACTGCACCGATGAGCAGCCAAATGTCTGCAGACATATCTGTTTGTTTACTAAAAAGGTTGCAGCATCATTGACGCTGGCTTTTGGGAAAAGAGAGTGTTACTCATTCATCTTTGGGTTTTTTTATAATGGTCATGATGGTATGTGATGCATACCCCTTGACAAAAGCATAGAAAGAAAGAAAAAGTAACGAGCCTGAGAGACGTGAGCAGATTTTCTCTCTGGACTTGACATTCTCGGTGAGCCCGATTGACAGAGGCACCTAATTAAATATTTAGCAAGCAAGTCAGACAAACAAAATAAAGCCCTCAGACAGATTCTTAAATCAAAAGAAACAACAGGCACAGAGACTTCAAATTAGGCCAAACAGAGAGAATGGAAGTCAATGGTAATTAAGGAAGACAACCACATTGAATAGATATCACAGGGCTCCATTTGCTCATGGGCAGTTCTTGTGATTCTTGGAAACGTGTCACACGGGCTTGTGTGAATGAGAGAACTTGTTGGGAAAACAACTAAGGGAGTCGAGAGCTTTTGGGAGTTATTAAAAAAAGAAAAAAGAAGAAGAAGAAGCTGCCAAGAGAGACTGTAAGTAAGTTAAGTGTGATGGGGAAAGTCAAATGTTTTTAAAACTGCACTGCTCTACCTGCCTAAATAAAGCCGAAAGCAGACCAGTAAGTGAGCATTGCAACAATCAAAACTTTTGACACTGGCAATAATTAATTACTTTTGACCCGTTTTGACATGTATTCATGCCTGGCTGGACTCTGGTTTTGGCAGGTTGTTCAATTATTCACCATCATTTTGCAAAAACAAACGATGACTCACTGAACGCTCAAACTCCCCGCGGTTTGTTTAACTGAAAGAAAAGCTGTCAGAAAAGCCTTTCATTCACCTTTCCACTTGGCATGTCACTGAGGTTTTTCCTGAGATTATCGCCTCTCACTGCACACCCAGTGAAATTCCATTTGACTGACGCTTCAGAGGGATGTGTCACTCACCCGGCTCTTCAAATGTTCTAATAGTGGGTGTCAAAAAAGGAAAATAAATTAAGATAATAAAGACAAGGGGGCCACGGTTAAGGATGAGTGGCAACTTGACTGATATCCTGTTAGTGAGGAGGACGCTACTGTTGGAACAAGCCCGAGCGTTTGTGTCCTCTCATAATGATGGGACGGAGAGGGGAAGTAGTGCTCCTACACTACAAATGACAGTGTGGGAGCTGGTAAGAGCAGCTTTCAAACATGTGATTTAATGAGATTTATAAATGTGCTCAAGGCCGAATGAAGCCCACACGCACACTTGAGTCAAAATATTTCCTTATTGCGTAGACACAGGCTGTTGGTTTCCCCTCACACACGCAGGGCAGGTCAGTACCTGAGGGTGGAGGCACAGTCATCACACACACATCGTTGCGGTCAGAGAGTTAACAAGCGCCGGCGCAGTGAGTAAGGCATCAGCACTGCTCGCAATGCTTTATGTTGGTGTTTAAGAGAGCCACTAAGTCTATATGCAAAATGAATCACTGCATTGCAATGTCACTGTTTGCACGAAGGACTCGCATCCAAGTGCCTGTAATCAATCGAGAGGTTTACTTAAAAAGTCCTTTGAAGTTTCTGCTTTCAGCCTAAAAGGTACAATTAAGTTTTTTGGGAAAAATTGTGAAGCAGCGGAAAATTCAATTTATCTGAAAATATGAGATAGATAAAGAGAGAGAGAGAGAGAGAGAGAGAGAGAGAGAGAGAGAGAGAGAGAGAGAGAGAGAGAGAGAGACTTTTAATATGATACTTTAGTCTTACTGCTAATTTAATTTTCATTATGATATATTTATTTTTATTACTTTTTGGAAATTGCAAATTAAATCCCCGGAGGAAATTTCCATCAACAACTGCTTGATCTAATAAGATCGTCTTTAATTTAGTTCATATAATTCCAAAATGTCTTCTGCACCTGGCCAACTGGATGTGAATTTAAATCTGCACTGTCCAGCTGGCTAAGTGCAAATGTGTGTGTGTGCGTGTGTGTGTGTGGGCAAAAGGTTATGCATCCTCTTTAGCAAGAGTTCATTATTGGTTAAGTGAAGTTAAGAGAACGATGATGTCTCCATTCTGTTTAGAAGTCCCAATCTTTGCAGAAAAAAGCAGCCGGTTTTTTGTGTTGTTGCAGCAAAATATTTCTTTGCACCGTTACTGGTATCATTTTTAAAATAAAGATTAATATGTGGCTTCTATGCAACAACACAATGTCGGGCATGCTAAATATGTTGTGGTAGAATATTGCAGTGATTTTCCACCACACGGTGTTGGAGGAGCTTAATGTGTGACCAAGGACACACTGATTATGAATAATAATTGATGGAGGCACTACAAAGAGGGGAAAACGGTGCAAACTGTTGTATGAGGAATTTTTGGACAATATGTCTGGCCTGTGAAACCAAATAGCTCATTAACTTTAATTGTGCTCAGAAAATGACTGACACATGATGTCCCAATAGAACACAAATAAACAGACACAGGCCCATTTTATTGTCTGCCCCTCCTCCTCTCCACTCCCCTCTCTCCCTCCCTCAGTCTATCCCTCCGAAGAGTTGTTTGACATATGCTGGTTGCACATGAATGCCCATCTGAGGGGCAGAGCAAGGAATCATGGGATGGCAAAGGGGCTGGAGAGGGGTAAGACAGGGCGGTGAAAAATGCCAAAGCCTAAATCCAAGCTCCTGGCTGCTGTGGCAGAGGTTGAGCCTGGAATAAGATGGGGGGGCTGCTGCAGAGGGGAATGAAACAAGTATACCTTCCCACTAGCTGCTCCTTTGGGGTGGGAGTTTCTAATCAGATTTATGCATGCTTAACTAAGCCCATCGTCTCACTCTGTTCACCTCCCAAGTCTCTGGAGAGAAGCAGGGAGCGAGCAGAGGTACGTTGCGTAACATGGCGTATCACAGGGCTGAGAGGAGCCTATTAGTAGGAGCTGCTATAATAAGTATAGCAGAGTAGTCATGCCATAAGAATCATTGTCGGGGCAGAGCGAGCACTTTTAAGGTTCTTGATTAGGAGACGGATAAAACAGGGGCTTAATGTAAAAATGAGTGTGATGTCATAGCTAATGAACAGAGAACGGTATGAGGGTTGTAATTTAGCTTTGATTAAATGTTTTTATGTGAGGAGATAAATTAAAGCAATTTGTATTTTGATATCCGCCTCATGAGTCAAAGATTCTGTGAAAACTGTAGTTGAAATTCAAACATTTGCAAAATAAAAGCACTACTATTCTATTCCATGCCCTTTGTTCAAGTAATCCTCTGAGCCTGTGTACGATTAAAAACACAGGATGATATAAAAAGAAACAATGTGTTTAGTCTTATTTTAGGGGAAACTCCCCTAAGTATCCATTCCCAGACATTCTTTGGCGTAAAAGCAGATACTAAAAATTGACTGCTTTAGATTTCAAATTGCCCCAAAATCTGTTGTTCCTCCTTCCAGAATTGGATCAAACATCCCTGCACGACACATTACCACAAGCCAGAACAAAGGCAGACAACACTGTGCAGTTCAAGGCTTTAAATCTAAAGCATCAAAAAGGGGAGGGATGGTTTTATTTCCCGGCCTTGAAAGGAGACAGAATAGATGTTAACGCTTTAATCACTTTATCAGCTTTATCCCTCTTTCTGCTACTTCTCTTATTTGTCTGCTTTTTATCCCGCCTTCTTTCCTTCTCTGGTGGTTTTCCAGGGAGAAAAATCAAGGGGCCCACACAGTGGTTTTTTGCTGCCACGGCTGCCACTCGGGCCATGGAAGGGGCAGGCAGCATGGGAAATACAGAGAGACAGAGGAGTGACAGCCCGAGCGAGCACTGACGGAAAAGGGGACGACGTGCATTAAAAAAAAACCGGTGTAGAAGCGGCAGGTCCTGAGGCGGGCAGACAGACAGGAGGAGGAAAGAGAAGGGACAGTCGGAGAAGGGGGCAAAGAGGGAGTCCCCTTCTCCGTTTTTTTTTTTTTTTTTTTGGCCAGCAGCCAGCTCCTCCATCAATAGCTCTCTCGGGGAAATGGAGAGGGAGGAAAAGGGAGAGGGAGACAGCGAGGTAAAAGGGGTGCAGCTCGAATGATTGGGAGAAGAGGAGAGGAGAGGTGGAGACGGAGGAGGAATGGGAGAAAAAGAGGGAGGATGTAGGTGACAGATAGTGTAGATAGTTAAGACAGACGGGGCAGAGGACAGGAAGGACAAAGCAGAAAAGAGGAGGTGGTGGGGGGGGGGGGGGGACAGAGACGGATGGAGGTAACAGGAGGGAGGTAGAGGGCGGTGTGGAGATACATAATCCAGGAGATGGAGCAGCAGGAGTGGAGAGAGGAGACAGGAGCTTGCGGAGAAGGCAGTAACCAGAGTCCTATTGATGTGTAATGAATCCCTGCATCCGGAGAGAGAGAGAGAGAGAGAGAGAGAGAGAGAGACGAGCGGAGAGGACAGGCGGACAAGGATGGAGGGAGAGATAGGGATGAGAAACGGAGAGGAAGAGGAGGATTGAGGCTGGAGGAGGAGGAGGATGGAGCGGAAGCCAGGACGCAGAAGGGCATAATGTCATTTTGTTAAATAATGCAGGCAAGGAGAGCGGGAGAAGCAGGAAGTGTGATGGGACACAGAGATGGACGGCTGCCAACAGCGAGAGGTAAAGTGGTTAGAGAGATGGCATAATTGCTGGCTACTGGCAGGGAGAAGTCTGGGTAGGTGGGGAGATAGACTCACACACAGACACAAACACACACACACACACACACACACACACAGCTGACTGACAGACGGCCACACCCCCTTTACAACAGATAGCCACTGCTGCCACACAGTGACGGAGTGAGGAGGAGGAGAGAGAGTCTGGGTTGGATGAAGGTTTATAAATAAAGAAAAGAGGTGGACACAAGCACCAATGGGAGGGAGTTACAAGCTGCGTTAAAGACGTGTAGAGCCAGGTTACCTCCTTTAGTCAGGTGACACCTATTTCCTAAAGTGGTGGGTGCTAATTTCAGGAAATACTCAAGCAAAGTGCTCGTTGTTTTTCTTTAAACATACCAGATCCTGAGAGTATTGCCGAACAACTGTTTTTATTTCTGATATTAAATTACAGAACTATTTATATTATTTAGCCTAAATTGTTTGTTTTTTTTCATTAAGAAATTTGGGGCACCACCTACCTAACCCTTTATTTGCATTAATGTCTTACTTGGTATTGGTTTGGAACAATAAGCATAAATCACAAAATGATAATATTTATTATCAATCTCAAACCCTGAGTCGTGAAGTTCTCTGTCAGAGATCGTAATCCCTTTAAGGTTGATGGACAACGACTTGGTGATACATGAGTGAACAAAATGTGAATAAATGAAGCAGGAAGTGTCATAATAACATTAGCAAGCGATGAATGGATGAAATGATGACGCACAATAGACTAAGGTTTGATGACTGAAGTGTAAGGATGATATTGCGAGAACATTCATTTATGTAATGGGATTATGTGTGGGCATAAGCTAAAATACTAATGGAATAAAAACGGTTTTAAATGACCAGGAGATAAGAGAGAATCTGACATTTTGGTCATTTTTTCTAGCAAGAAATGGCGCAAATTCTTTGATGATTCATTCTTCAGGTTTTTTAGTTATCTTCAGGAAGCGTCTTAACCCTTTTTTTTCTGACCAAAGGAATTATCCGAGTAGTTGAGGAAATGATCAGCCTCCTTTTACAGTTCTTTTCTAAAATTGCCCATTCTGGCTTCCAACAGCCAAAATGTCAAATTGTAGACTTTGCTGGACCAAAAGAACTAATCTAAAATATAAAGTTTATAACAAGCGACTGAGAAACATAAAACAATATAAAGCAAATGAATGAGATTTTTGAAAAAAGAAAGTATGTGATAACTTTTATTTCCCTTTATTAATTATCTCAAAGTCAAATTATCCATCAACGCATGTATAGGAAAAGGATGTGACAGTTCTCTCTATTCAATCACCTTGTTAAACTCTATCTGATGATCATGTGTTTGCATGGCCTGGCTCTCAAATGGTTAGTAGTTTCACAATAAAGCCCTCATGATTCTGAACTGTGGCACATGCCTGGCTCCATTAAAGCCCAGACTCACAAACCGTCAATCCTCTAAACCAGCGTGAGTGGACCATTCAGGAAGTAGCACACGCTGGGTGCGATCCTCCAAAATGGCTGACAGTTTCACCACAACATCTATGCAAAAAACGGGGAAACCGTGCCCGCTCTTACAGCCTCCAAAAGCCTTACTAACCCATGGTGCTCTAAAACAGCAGGGCCCGTCTATTCAGCCCGGCTCCCTTTTGTGTGAGTGCAGGCTGCTGTGGTTACCCCCGGCACGACAGGCCGCCAACGCTTTCTAATGACTCATTTTTATTCAGGCGATAAGGTCAGCTTCCCGCGGCGGCTTAAAAGGCCCTGAGGAGCTGTGGAGTGGCAGCTATGAGATGCCAGACAGACAAACAGAGATACACTAGGTACAGGGAAGGGGGGGGGGGGGTTCTGCACAGGCATAGAGAGAAGAAATGAAAGTGTGGAGACAGATATAATAAAGAAAAACATGAGAAAATAAGGAAGTGAGAAAGCACAGTATGAAAGATAAGCTTCTTTTCAAAAGAGACTTCCCTCCCGCCTCTCTCTCTCTCTCTCTCTCTCTCTCTCTCTCTCTCTTTCTCTCTTTCTGCAGAGCTCGATGGTTGCACGGCTTTCCCTTCTTTCAGTGTCTGGGTTGTGTTAATGTCAGCTGAGAATAGCTTCTGAGGCACGTGTGAAGTTCAAATCTCCGCTGTCGGCAGGCTGAGGGTTTTTTTTGTGTGTGTGTGGAAGCACCGGTGTCAAACAAAGACAAGGTGGCAGTCTGGTTCAACACTCGCTCTTCATCACGCACCCCCTTCCCTCCCTCCTTCCCCTCTGTGCTCTCACTCTTCTTCTGTTGTTTCAGGTTTACACAATACAACAGAGAAATCCCTCAAGTGTTACGGTAGCGGGCTTCCACCTGGAACTGGATTTGACTAAACAACTTCAGGTATTAATTCATGTCGGGGCTTCTATGAGTCCATGTTTTTAATGAGAGCCGACACAAGGGGAATGTGTAAATGTCCAAGCTGGGAAAGATTAAAAACACTTCCAACACGCTGGGGTTCTTCGGTTTGATGCTTGATCAACAAAAAGGGGGAAAAACTTTGGGTTCAATGGTTCCTTTGAGGACGTGACACTGAACCAGCACATTGAAAGACTGAAACTCGCTGCCCACTGACCCACAACAAAAGGCAAATGAGAGTCCTTGATCTTATGTTCTTCATTTGTTTGTGTCCATTTTAAGCTACATCAGATTGTGTATAAAAAGAAAACATGCGAAGTCTTTAAAGAGGACATATTATCCCCCTTCTCCACCTTTTCAAACAGTCCCCCTGTGGTCTAAATGAAACATCTGTGCTGTGCTTTGGTCAAAATATAACATGAATCAAGCACCAGAGGAGGTATAAACCATAAACCCTGTATAAACCAGCTCTCTCAGAACGCTCTGTTTTGGTGTGTGTGTCTCTTTAAATGTAATGACCCCCCCCTGAATTTTCCCAGTAGACATCACTCCTCTGTAATGAGAAGAAAAATGGCGGACATGCGCAAAAGTTTTGTTCTAGGCTGGTTGTGGAGTCCATGGGTGGAGATACCAGGGGAGGAAGGGGGATTTTTTTTTAACCAAAATCCCACTGTGACATCACAATGGGAGCAAATTTGAAACTGAGCATTTTTCTCTGTGTTGTAAGACTTATGCAGACCACAAACAAAGGACTGGATGGGTTTATTTCATATTTTGTGGGTCAGTAGACACTCAGGTTACCCAAATATATGTTCAACAACACTTTTAAAGTGAATTCTTCATAATATATCCCCTTCACTAGGTAATAAAACTCGCCCACGATTAAAGGAAAGTACAAAAAGACTGAGACAGTAATGTCATCCAAGCCGATCATTATTGGCATCTCTGATAATGCTACAGCAGTAAAATCTTTTCTGGGCTTCTTTCATTTTGCCAACACGTTTAAAATGTAAACATGTCAAACGTTTTAATGTCAACATATTCTTTATTTAAGGATTGTATTTCTTGATACAATCAGTCTAAACTGATTTCAAGTTAAAGAATGTGAAACTTCTTCTTAGACTGATGTTAAGTATGTTTGAACCACTGCAATCAGTCTTAAGTTCTACACTGTAGAAACAAATCTGAAATGAGGTCAGTTTTCTTTAATAATAACCAAAATGACCAGGACATCACACCACTATAGCTAAGTGGAAAGCTTTAATTCAAAGTAAACACTGTGGGGAAAGGTATGTTGTTGCATTTAATACTTGAACTCACCATTGGAGTTTGTGGTTCCGTCTCCATCCAGCTGCCGTTTCTGTGCACTCCTAAACTCCTTTAGTGAGAGATAAAGCACCTTTCGCATAACCCGCTCCTCCGACCACGGGATTCCATCACTGTCATCCTGTGGAAACATCCAGAGAGAACGGGTTAGTACAGATTACTGTCACTGACAGTAAACAACAAAGAAGGTGTGTGTTACTTTGATAAAGACAGATCGCAATTACTATATTGTCTTTGAAAAATCAAAGCTGGTGGACAGATAGAAGCGACAAAGGCTGCAGGTGTGCAGGTTGAACCAGGTTGTGACTAAGCTTTCACCTTTGGTTTGGTTGCCAGACACCAGAAAGACCACCAAAGTTTGGCTTAATGGACAGTTCTCTGAAGATACCAAACACAAAAGTTAAAACACTAGTCAGTCCAGACTGTCCATTTCCAATTTTCAATGTCAATGACGTGTCATAAAGTTTTTCTGTATCTTTCTCACACTTTAGATTCTTTAAAAACAGCTCCGGAATGGGTCTTTAGACGAATAATGTAACCATAGCCACAGACAGTTAGCATAACTAAGATCAGACAACAAGAATCAGCAAATACAAGTATGTAGCCAGCGTCAAAACAATGAAAAGTAATGACTAATGTAATAAAGAGAAACAGACAACAAAGTTTCTTAATACGGGAATCTCATGACATATTGTTCCTGTTCCAATTCCTTGCTACATTGTGGCATTAGCATGACATAGCATTAGCATATTGATGCATTAGCATGCAGTTAGATGCAGGGAAATGCATTAGCATTAGAATGCACAGAGGACTGCATCACCACAATGCCATGATATGAAAGGGCCACGCTGATGAATGGGTAGGAAGTAAATGAGACCGGCATCATGGGACTATGAGTCCATGTGCTGTTAATCTCTGATAGAGAGACTTTTAAACAGAAGATGTTATTGTCAAAGATGTCACACTCAAGAGTTACACTCAACACTTTTTTCCACAATGGACAAGTTTTTCTCCAAGTCAGTTTCAACAGAACGTAGATCACATCAAAGCAAACGATTTGTTCAAAGTGTCATATTGATCGTATTTAGACTTTTAACAGCTTCATAGAAGAATATTCCACAGCAGCGAGCCTTGTTAAAAGCGTCTTTAGTTTGAGTCCAACTGCAATAACCATACTTCTCCCCCCGCTCTGCTACAGTCAGTGCTCCAGCAGCTGTGTTTGATGTCGAACAACGCTAATGACTAAAGGAAATGAGATTAGGACATGAGCAACAACAAAGAGGTATTAATAAATAATGGAAACTGGAAATAGCTTTTCTCTAGTCGAGCCATGGGGCGAGTAGATTTCAGCTGTGAGGTTTGAGCAAAGAAGGGAAAAAAAACTCTCTGCCGTCTTTGTGCGAGGAAGCTAATGTATGCTAATTATTTGAATTAAAAAACATTTCTGATCCTGTTCGGCTTGTCTTCCTCCCGTCTGAGTCAAATGTAATGCGAGAGGCAGACGAGGAACCAGCACGGTGTGTGGGAGCGCTTTTCTTATTATCCAGTTGACTCAGATCACTCAGAGTTGGCTCAGCGAAAGCAGCTGGCGGGCATCGTGGTGACATCAGCGCAGTGTGTATTAAAAGTCTCCACCTAGCGAGAAAATAATTACTCAAAGATGTTTTAGCGCCGCTTTAATAACAAGATAACAGCTATATATATATATATATATATATATATATATATATAGTGTGCTCCATTAGTGAGCTCTCAAAAAAGGCAGAAAGTGTGTGTGTCTGTCTCAGCCTGTATTTCTGTCTGACTGGCTGTGGGAGGCTGCATAATGTTAGGATTAGACTAACTTTCCTTCTTTCACACAGTGAAATTAATGCTACGGCAATGACTGCTGCTCGTATATTTTTATCTTTTTAGACTTATTTATACAAGATAGAAGATACCTGAGATGTGAGGATATATTTACTTTGATTATGGGACATGAGAATGGAAATCACTTAAAAACATCATAAAATTGGGTCAATATCACTATTCCCTGTGAGCTACAGAACCTCATGCTATTTTTTAAGGAAGCTGGTGTTTTCGGTTAATAATGGTGACTTGTCACCTTGTTTTCGACTGTGACACGACAATCAAATCAAATCATTCAATCAATCGAAGCCTTCTAATCAGCACAGACAAATGACTAACTATAGCTGCATCGCTACAGGGTGTGTGAACATTTAAAAGTCCAGGAGTACAGGGTGATGATCTTACAGTGTGATGGCATTTCTGAAACAAAATACATGTTTCAGGTCAGATCAGTTACAGGTCATATTTTAACATGTTTGAGGTGTAAGGTCAGATGAACCTCTTGGTGTTATAGCCTAGTGCTTCCTTTGAGGATTAATTAAAGGCCACAAGTGGGTCAGAAAAGAACAAGTCTGCAAGCAGAAGAGGAAGAAAAAAAATCCCTTCAAATCATTTGATTTGGTTCATTATCTTCCCTGTAGTAAAAAACAGAAATCATATGGCCTCATTCACTCACTTCATTCACGGCACATCCCTTAATCATTTTTGACACTATTGACAAGACTGAAGACTTTGCTTGTTTATCATTCTTCTGTGGATTTTTTTTTGTCTCCTGAGCAGATAAAAATAAGTCTGAGTATTGTTTTGATTTTCCAGGTCTTCTCGGGGGCCTTGGGGACGAGGCCTCAGCGGTAGTAAAAAGGAGAAGGGGGGGTGTGGATTAAAAGCTGGGTGTCTTCACATGACGGAGCTGAAGTGTGACAGCCACATCTCCCTGCATACAGTGTGCATGCTGCTCTCACACACACACACAACACACCCTGTTCAGTGCACCACTGGTTTGCTGCATGTGACAGAGGTTGGTAGGGTGTGTGTGTGTGTGTGTGTGTGTGTGTGTGTGTGTGTGTGTGTGTGTGTGTGTGTGTGTGTGTGTGTGTGTGTGTGTGTGTGTGTGTGTGTGGCAAGCAGTCCCTCATTACACTGTCACACATGAGTACACACACAAGCAAGAAGCTATTGCAAGTATTAATTATGTCATTTTCTGCTGTACTTAATGTCAACTAATCCATTCTCGTGTGTGTAAAAGCCTGCCAGGTAAGCACAAATACCCAGAGATCTCTCTCACTCTTTCCCTCCTGGTGTCATGAGACCATATGAAAAACGGGAAATATTATAAGTCATAAATATTTACGGTATGCATATGCACACACACACACACACACACACGCACACACAAAACAGCACCGAAAGGAGGAAACGAATCTGCAACCCAAAAATTGACCTCAAAACTCGTGCATTTCTTTTCTCTCACTTTCTCTCTGGTTTCTTCTCAGATTCTGGCAGCATGCCACACATATTTCTTGCACTGTAAACATAACAAGGTTTCAGGAAAAAATAAAAATAAAAACAGGGTAAAAAAAGATGACTGACTCATCAGCTGGGCGAGCTGCTCTATTTCAGCCATGCCCTGAAACCTGACATTTAGCTTTTCATTTCTTCAGACCATTGGCGGTTTTTCTCAACCTTCCCCCCAACTGTTAACTGTTGATCTGACCTGAGAGGCAGCTGGACATCTTTTCCAGGCCAAGGCTCACACCTTATGTGTCTATGTGTGTGTGCTTTCCAGGGGGGAAAAATAAAGTACTGTTGAGCAGCAATTGCATGCAAAAAAATAAAATCCGAAGGTATTCACACTTTCTGCAATGGCATGACAGAGGAGGGGAAACATAGACTCAAATAAGCAGTAAACCTAATTGTGCTGCATCTCAGTTTCCCAGTCAGACATTGTGTGCATTTGTGTGTGTGTGTGTGTGTGTGTGTGTGTGTGTGTGTGTGTGTGTGTGTTTCTGAGGTAATGCCAGAGCTCTTTAGAGACAGCTCTAACACAAAGCACTGCCAGCCGAGCACTACCTGGCACTGACACACACATCCACACCCCGACCAGCTCCCATCAGGCTGCTGGAATTCCACTAATGAGCGCAGGGACCTTTTCTGTGCCCTGTGTGTGTGTGTGTGTGTGTGTGTGTGTGTGTGTGTGTGTGACCAAAGTGATGCTTGTGTGCCTACTGTCACCCGGCAACCCCTCCCCCGACTCCCTGGCAATACACAGGTAATCCGAGCAGCGAAAAAAACCACACAAATACGCAGACAGACAGCTTTTAGGCATCCATAGGGATACTGTGCTTGAAAGGTAAGCCTCTTCTCTCTCTCTCTCTCTCTCTCGCTCTCTCGCTCTCTCGCTCTCTCTGTCGTTAGACACACACGTGCTGACAGACAGCCCTGGAAGTATACCAACGTAATACCTTTCCCGCTGGGCTTCGTTAAACATTTTAACCCATAAAATGTATCCTTAAAAGAGTGAATCAAAATGAGAAAATATGACACTTTGGTTACATTTGTATTATTTTTCCTGACACTTTTCTGGAGTAGAACAAGGCTTTAGTGCTTTAAAATATGTCATCACCCTCTAGGATGTTTGGTAAGATAATAAGTTTAGTACTGTGTTGGAAATACACACACTTAAATATATTAGAGTGGGAAAAGATCCAGTGAATAAACAGCCAGAGGAAATCTTGTAGACAGGAGTTTTACCAACAACAGAACAATCACAAAATTGAGCAAATGTTGAAAAGCTTGCAGCATTGTGACAGATTACACAAAGTCAAGAGCCTTAGTGGGATTCATCTCTCCCTGCATCTGTATGTGTTCATCTAACTGGATGAGAAATAGAGCTGGTTCCATTTCACAACCCAAAGTCTTCCTCAACAATCCTCTCCCCACAGCAGAAGGAGGTATCCATAACTCTGATGAGGAAATAAGTGAGTTACATCAACTGTGTGTAAAAGGGAATGCAAAAAAAAAAAAGAAGGAGCCATGGTATTAATAGAAACAGGAGGAGGATGAGAAAGGAAGGATGTACATGTGTGCCCAGTTTAATGTGTGAAATGGCATACTATACAATTTGCTGCAATGCGCCTTTAAGAAAATCTGCATTGTCCTCGAGGTCTGTGTGTGCAAGTGTGACATGCAGCTACGCTAACATCAGCCCTGCAGCTCAGATGTTTCCATCTCCGTAACAGGAAATAGTAGCACAACTGATTTGAAAAAAAAAAA